CCCCAAAACCCCAAAACCCCAAAACCCCAAAACCCCATAAAATGCATTTTTATTTGAATGTGTAAGTAAGTATTTTTATCTTTTTGGGGTTTCTACTCAACTAAGACTCTTTGCAGAGTCTAATTTATCAGCAAGTGATTTAGGAATCCTCTTGCAAAAGTTCCAATCCTTCTCTGATCTTGTCCTCGATACCTCCGTAGGTCTGGATGGATGAGATCAGGTCATCGAATGGGAGATCGATGATCATACCTGTGATCTTTGGAGCAGATTCATCTCCAGCTTTTTCGAGGACATAGCTGTAGATTTCTTCTCCAATCTTTTCTCTCTTGTCGTCTTCAGAGAGACTAGTGAATGAAGCACCGTTGATCAAGGTGACTACATCATTAACATACTTAGTAGCACTAGCGTTGGTCACTGGTGGTTGAACTGGCATTGGGGGAGCCTGACTAACAGGAGCAGTAGGAGGAAGGTTTCCACCAACCATTGGAGGAGCAGTGTTTGGTAGACCAGCAGAGGCATTAGCATAAGAGTTATGAATGTCCTGTCTTGGTGGTCTGTTGTACATGTTCTGTCCATGTCCACCATATTGGTTATAGGAGTGACCTCCATATCCACCTCTGTTGTGGTGTCTTGGACCTCCTCTTCTGTTATAATTGTGTTGATAGTTATCAGGATAACCTCCACCATATTGACCTCCGAATCCTTGGCTCTGGAAGTTTTTAAAGTATTGTTGGAAGATTTGCATGAAGTATTCCATCATGTTGTTCTGGCCATCAGCTCCTTGCCCAGCAAAAGATTGATCGAGGATGCCCATCAAGTTATCCTTCTTACTATTTGCAAGTCTCTTCTTTCTGGCATTCTTGTCTTCATAGTAGTTTACATACAATTGCTTGTTGTTAAACTCTAAGTCTTCATTTTGGTATTTCTGGATAATTTTAGAGGCATCATTAGGATTGTTGAAGCTAACAAAACCGAATTGCTTTGACTCCTTGATAACTCCGTCTTCTTTGTTTACATCAGTGGTCATAATTCTAACATTTCTTACAACAGCATCTCCTCCAAAGAATTTCATCAGGTCTTCTTCAGTAACATTTTTGTCGAAGTTTCTTACATAGAGGTTAGCTCTAGCAAGAGATTTCTTCAAAGCATTCCATCTGTTAGCTTTCTTCTCGAATTTGGCAACGTAGAGGGTCTTTCCGTCTCCGAGGTCCTTGTTGTTCATCTCTTCAGCAGCTTTGAGAGCTGGTTCAGACTCAACGAAGCAGACAAATCCGAAGAGTTTGGATTTTCCTTCCTCGTCAGTCATCAACTTGACACTGCCGAGTTCTCCGTAAGGAGAGAATAAGTTCTTGAGGTCCTCCTCGGTGAAGCTCTCTCCGAAACCTCTGACGTACAAGTTGTTGAACTTAGTGTCTCTCTTGATGTCCTTGTTGTATCTCTCAATGGAGATGGTCTCACCTTCAAGTTCTTTTCCATTGAGCTCTTCAATTGCCTTGTCGAGCAACTCTTTGGAAGCGAAGTTGACGAAACCGTATCCATTGGACTTGCAGGAGATGTCAGTGTCATTTTGCTCAATAGTCTTAGAGACCTTGCAACATTTGACTGGGCCGACGTTCTCACTGAAGAATTTTTCGAGAACTGCGCTGTCAACCTTCTCCTTGTTGAGACCCTTGACAACAGCGTTGGTCTCAGAAGCACCTTTGAGAGAACCATCAGTGATGTTTTCCAAAAGTCTACTCTCAATGTTGTGTTTTACATGAGGGTATCTCAATTCGGTGGTTGCCTTAGTGTCTATAAGAAATCAGACTAGAGCTCCAAAGCTGGCTTACAATTAGCGCTGCTGCCCATCTGTACCTTGGCCCACTTGATTGGAAGTTTGTAATGTCTAAATAAAGTTAGTCTTGAACACCCTGAAATGAACACGAACGTAGATTGTGAGAAACGTAAACTAACTTACGGTTTGAGAACTGACACAGAAACTCCTTCAATGCCATTGTTCTTAAAGAACTCTTCGAGGTCTTGCTTCTCAACGTCTGTGGGAAGTTCAGAGATGTGAACAAGGTAGTCTTCTTGGCTCATATTTTTAATATTACTATATTCAAATACCTACTAATTTATAGGGGTTTTGGGGTTTTGGGGTTTTGGGGTTTTGGGGTTTTGGGGTTTTGGGG